TTTTTTCCTGCTATGGCTGAAAACCGAAAAGCATGCGTTCAGCTTTTCACCAACACCGTTTAAGTGTTTCGTGGCAGGACCTCTTAATGAGCTACAACGTTTTACAGCTAAAGCTGAGTCAGGAAGCCTCTCTTAGATGAGAGTGCTTGCTTGCCTCTAGCAAGCAGAGCAGACCTGAGAAATTGCTGCTACCAAGAAAACATGCTTTACTCTATTCTTTCCCAAGCTTTCTCAAGCTTTATGTGGATTCAGTTATCCACGTTGGCGCCATCTGTAGTAAAGGGGCTGCGGGCAGGCCTGCTTTTCATCCTGCCCGGCTCCCGCATAGCTAGCTTAGCCCCAGAAATAATAACACACAAGTTATATTCATTTAACCACTGCCTGGCCCATTATCTCTAGAGAGTTAGTTACTGGCTAACTCTCACATCTTGATTAACCCATTTCTAATAATCTGTATCACACCACGAGGTGTGGCTTACCGGGAAAGATTCAGCATGTCTGACCTGGTGGCTGGCTCCATGGCTTCTGCCTCATAGCCCTCTTCCCAGCATTTTGTTCTGTTTACTCCGCCTACCTAATTTTCTGTCCTATCAAGGGGCCAAGGCAGTCTCTTTATTGACCAATGAAAATAACACAATAGACAGATAACCCTCCTCCATCATTTCCCCTTTTTCTGTTTAAACAAAAAAGAAAGGCTTTCTTTTTTGGTGCTAAGGGATTTTAAAGAACCTCTTAATATAGTTACAGATTCACAATATGCAGAAAGAGTTATCTTGCATATTGAAACCGCTGAATTCATACCAGATGACACAGAGTTGACTTCATTGTTTATCGAGGTACAGGACATAATTAGGAATAGGCTTTGTCCAATGTACATAACACACATCCGGTCCCATACCGGTCTGCCTGGGCCTCTAGCACAAGGTAACGCTGAAATTGACCAATTATTGATTGGAAGCGTTCTGCAGGCCTCAGAATTTCATAAAAAACATCATGTCAATAGTAAAGGCTTAAAGAAAGAGTTTTCCATTACATGGCAACAAGCTAAGGACATTATAAAGAGATGTCCTACTTGTTCTTTCTATAATCAAACACCATTGCCTGCAGGGAGTAACCCAAAGGGTACTCAAAGGAATGAAATCTGGCAGATGGATGTGTTCCACTTTATGGAATTTGGTAAATTAAAATATGTACACCACACCATAGACACGTATTCAGGTTTTCAATGGGCAACTGCCCTGAGCTCAGAAAAGGCTGATTCGGTAATCACACATTTATTGGAAGTTATGGCCATCATGGGTATACCTGCACAGATAAAGACAGACAATGGTCCAGCATATGTATCTAAGAAAATGAAACGCTTCTTTGCTTATTATAATATAAAACACGTTACAGGTATACCAAATAATCCTACAGGTCAGGCAGTTATAGAAAGATCAAATCGTACTATAAAGGATATGCTAAACAAACAGAAAGGGATGAAAGATACCCCCAGAAATAGATTGCATAATGCTTTATTAACCTTGAATTTTCTTAATGCTAATGAGAAAGGAACAACAGCAGCAGAGAGGCATTGGATAATGGAAAAAACTTCTGAACTAAACCAACCTGTTTATTTCAAAGACGTGCTGACCTCTCAATGGAAGCCAGGAGATGTGCTACGTTGGGGAAGGGGTTTTGCTCTTGTTTCCACAGGAGAAGAAAAATTGTGGATACCATCAAAATTAATAAAGGTTCGATTTGAAGAGGAGAAACCTCTTGGAAAGGAGAAATGACAGCATCTACAATGATGATAACCATACAGGTGGTAAGAAAAGCATATAGAATGGGGGCAGGGTTCTGTTCTTATCTCCACAGGAAAACACTGATCTTTGAAAAGTTCAAGGGACCCTGGATATTTGAATACTGACAGATGGAAAATAACGGCCCAATAGGGACTATCAAGAAAACTGAATAGGTTCTGTAAGTACCATATACTAAATCATATTTCTAAATTTATAGAGCTGGTTTTAGAGTTGGACTCTGGCTCAGTCCCTCTCTAATTCCAAGCCTGTTGTTTAAAGAAAAACCCAGAGTTTCTGGAGTTTCTGTCTCATGTCAAGAGCCATGATATGGGACAGAAAGAAATATGAGTTTAGAAAACATCTTTACTTTTCTTCATATCTATCATACCTTCATTAAATATATCTATCATGTCTCTCATTGAATATAGGTATTCATGTATATGTCTATATAATTAATGTTTAAGTTTTCCACAATGAACAATGAGTTTTTCCTACAGTGACATTTGAAGTTTCCAGGAAGAAGATGGGGCCCCATAACAACAACTCCACCTGGTTGATATGACGTCATGATACTGATAGCGCTACTACAAGACCTGTTTTGGGTACCAGCTGCACAAGACGGTTCCAACGTGCTGAAATGGTGCACATCTTGTACAACATTCTGGCCAGACCTCCACAAAATACTCAGAGACTATTTGCAATTTTAAAAGACATTGATCTTGAAATTTAACCATCATTTTACTTTCACAGGATCCCCCAGAAAGAACGTCGCCCCCATGACAGCTGGAAGTAATTCTAGAGAACGACGTCCCCTCTCCCAATAAAGTTTGTCCTTGGGTTTAGGGACATCATTTAGGGGTTGGTTATAATTAGTATACGGTTGAGGGTTGGGGGAGGAATTTTATAAGCACAGGAATCTTAAAAAAAAAAAAAAAGGAGGGATAATTGGATTATGGGATAAATAGATTTGTACTTGTGAGTTATTGCTTTTAGACAAACATATTGGTATCGATTCTTATATATTGATACAAAGTTAAATTATGTTGACTATTTTATGCATGCATGCTTCATGCTTCTACTTCTGTTTAAAACATTTTTATGTATTTGTATATATATATTGTATTGATATATGTATATTTACCATATTGCATTGTACACTTCTACCTCTGATTAAGATACTTATATATTGTTTATGTATTGATATATATTTACCATATTGCAATGTATACTTGCACATTGTTTATATTTGGAGGTCTCATTGTCCTCATTTATTGCACACTTGTTTATTATCTCAGTCTTTAAGTTAGATAGATATTGAGAATTATATAGATCAACAGTCATCTAAGTTTGTCATTTATAATTAGACTAATCAGGTTCTTTAGATATATAGAGATTATATTCAGTATAGATAGATAATCTTCAACCTCTTCAAAGAGCTGTAGAAAATGGCCTTTAATCTAATTCAGAGTTCTATGGTAGGGAGACACAATCACTCCTGGCAACACTGATCTATGCCCGAGAGAATGTTGAGCACCAAAGACACTCCACCTGGAGCCTTTCTTCTTGGCAGAACTGGCCTTTGGGTAAAGAAATGCTCATACCTCAACTACTGACAGAGTTACAGAATATCCGTAAATGGATAAAACAAGACTGTCATATCCTGCCAAGACAGGGTAAGATAGTTTTGAAGTTTCTTGCCTTTGAAAATGGTATGTCAGTTACATCAGGCCTTAGCCAAAGTTGGTTGCTTCAACGCTGCAAATGTGACTTTGGGTGTTTGTCCAGGTAGCCAGTTGTCTCTGCGATTTGGTACATGTTCTGGAAGTTGTTTGATTGCACTTCCTAATTACTCAGATAACATTATTTCCCTTCTCAGATCTTCGATGGGATTGAAGATTATATAAATGTAGTTACTTTCCTTTCATGACTTGGCCAAGTTATTTGTTATACAAGACTTAAGCTAGTTAGAATAGGATATTTGTATTTATTGTATATAATTTTGTAGGTTTGTACTTATTGTATATAATTGCGTAGTAGGCTTAGAACTCTCTTACTTAAACAAAAGGGGGAGATGCTGTGGGAGTTCCTTCAGCTCCTTCAGCCAACCGCCGCTGAGTTACCAGCCCATTGGGGCGTGGTCTCTCCCTTTAAAAAAAGCAGCGGCTGTCCTCCACTCTCCTTTTGTCTTCCGGCTCCGTTTCCGGCCCCTGGACTCCTTTCCTGTTCGCGCGGAGGGGCTGTTGTCTGGGACGGTAATCTGTAAGTTTTTTCCCCTTTGAATAAATAACCATTCTATTAATCATAATTCCAAACTGGTGTGGGATTGTCTGTGACTTACGCCTTCATGCATGTGCATGTGAGCGTGTGGAGCCAGAAGTCAATGCTGTCTATGTGTGTATGTGTGAACATGTGAACATATGGAGGTCAGAAGTCAATGTTGTCTATGTGTGTACATGTGCATGTGAGCACATGGAGCCAGAAGTCAATGCTGCCTCCTCCTTGGTCTCTCTCATCCTATTTTTGTTATAATTTATTTATTTTTGTTTTATGTGCATTGATGTTTTGCCTGCATGTGTGTTTATGTGAGGATGTCAGATTCCCTGGAACTGGAGTTACAGTTATGAGCTGCCCTGTGGTTGCTGGGATTGAATCCAGGTCCTCTGGAAGAGCAGCTGGTGCTCTTAACCACTGAGCCATCTCTCTAGCCCCCTTCTCACCCTATTTTTTGAGGCAACTGTCTCTCGCTGAAACGGGAGCTCACTGACTCAGCTGGGCTGACTGGCCAGCAAGGCCCAGGCCTGTCTCCGCCTGTCCCGTAAGCTACCGTCACTGTTCTTTTGGTAGTGGTGGGTTTTCCCCCATCGTGGGGTCTAAGGATTTGAACTCAGATCTTCATGTTTGTGCAGCAACCACTTTACCAACTGAGCCAGCTCCCCCGCTCCCCAATGTCTCTGTATTAGCATTTTGAACTCAAGGACTTTCAATATGCAAATAGCCCTACTTATCCAGTGTGAGTGCCTTCAGGTTGGCACCTGAGTCCTTCTGTCGTGGTCCTGCTGGTGTGTGAGATCTTACTTGCTTTCTAGTACAAGATGTTCTGAGCTTATCTTAGTCACTGACCTGGAAACGGGCAATTCTCCAGGCAGTGTCGCTCCTTCCTGTGGGAGAGAAGACTCATCCCTGTTCTCAGAAACAGTGTGTGTTCTCTGCTTCTAGGTTTTCTCCAAGAAGGATTTGCATTCAGGGCAGGGCCACCCAAAGGATGTGGCATTATGAAACTAAGTGTGACTCTCCAAGATCAGAGACTATCAGTCCTGAAAGGTAAGCTTTGTCTGGTGGACGGCACCTCTCCCCTCCCAGAGACTAATCTTGGCCCCAGGGTTGGCCGCAGTGCACAGCTTCTTTTGGATACGTGTTAAATGTGAGGGGCTAAGGCACTAAAATCACACTTCCCAGGAGCTGAGCTTCTAAGCCAAAGTTCTTCCGACAGCACGATCAAAGTATTTTTCATATTACATTTTTCTGTTTTAAAATATTTATTTTATCAATGTATGTGTATGAATGTTTTGCCTGCATGTATGTGTGACCATCTCCCTGGCCCAAGGTACTTTAAATGAAATCTGTCAGGCAAACTTCCTAAGCACACAAATTGGCAAACAGAAAGCACTAGGAGATAGTCCAGATCCAAATACTGCCTGTCTGGAGACTCCTTGTGTGCCCATGGAGTTTCTGGAAGTTCTGCTAGATGTCCTGTCGGTGTGAGAGCCTTGATATCCACTTTGTTATAAAACAGAGTCAGGGTGATGTGTGGTAACGATGCCTGTAATTCCAGTGCTGTGGCTCAGGCTGGAGGGCTGTGAGTTCCGGGCCAGCCTGGGCTACATGAAACCTAAAACAGAAGAAGACTAGGCAAAGACAAAGATGAGAAAGACAAAAACGGTGAAGATGAAGATAAAAAAAAATGAGGAGGAGGAAGGGAGGACAGTGTCAATGGGAAAAAGAAAGTACTCTCAAGCCTAATAACTGAACCTACACGGTATGGAGAGAGAGCCATGTCCTACATATTGTTCTCTGGCTTCCACATGCATGTCCATACACATGCAAACACATAAAGGTAAAAGGGCACGAGAGCATTGTGGCGCACGCCTCTAATCCCAGCACTCGGGAGGCAGAGCTAGGAGGATCTCGGTGAGTTCGAGCCCAGCCTGGTCTAAATAGTAAGTTCAGGTCAGAAACCCTCTCTTAAAAAAACCAAAACCAAAATAATAATAATAATAATAAAGTGAGGGAGGGGAAGAGGGAAGGTGGGAGGAAGTGGGGTTGGGAGTGTGTCTCAGCGATAGAGCATTTGCCTAGCCTGTGCGAGGCTCTCATTCCCTTTCCCAGGATCCAGAAGCAACCCACACCAACCCCACAGATACAGTGGTAACATTAGACCATGGAGGGAGGAATTTCCCAGTTGCAAAAGGAGCCTCCAGATGAAATAAGTCCGTGGGTGGATGCTTCTAGGGATAACACACAAATGCACAAGGCATGTGCAAGCCAATAAAGGACAGAGAGAGTTTGTGTGAACATGGACCATCAGAGCCTCCGAACTCTTCCCCCGGCGTCTGAGGCTGCTCTGGAAGCAGCTGTCTCTCTGTGGTAGCTGATAGGTGTGGCCACCCCTTGTCTATGCCTACGTTAGCAGCAGCAGCATCTGCCTCTTCTCCCTTTAAAGCTTGGGTGAGGCTATGAAATTCACTCTAACCTGTGTGTCCCAAGCGGCCATGCCTCCTCCGTACAGGAGCCTCAAAATCGTGTGCTCTGCCAGATGTCTTTGTCCTGCCTCTGCAGCCATGATGCTCACGCCAGGTGTTCTTTCATGGTGACCATGCCTTGAAGTTTTCCATCTGATCTGTGGGGCAGATTGGGTGTGGTCAAGAATAAACACTGACCGGGCGTTGGTGGTGCACGCATTTAATCCCAGCACTCTAGAGGCAGAGGCAGATGGGTCTGTGTGAGTTCGAGGTAGGCTGGACAACAAAATCAGTTCCAGAACAGCCAGGACTGCTTCATAGAGAAACCCTGTCTCCAAAAACCAACCAACCAAACAAAAGAGAATAAACCACGAGGGCACCTGTTGAACATGAAAAGGAGCCTGGCTTGGCTGTGAGCAGCCACGGGGCACTTGCAATGGGTTATAACTCCAGTTCCAGGGAATCAAACACCATCTTCTGATCTCCATGCAACATACATACACAAATATACAGACAGGCAAAACACCCATGTATATAAAAATAATATAATTTAAGAAAAAAAAAAGAAACCTTGATTGATTTAACTGCTAAGATTTAAAGTTGTCACCAAAATACAGTGTATCCTAGCCCAAATACTTACACTCTGTATCTTCCTTTGTGCGTGTGTGCGTGTGTGTGCATGTGCGTGTGTGTGTGTGTGCACTGTGCCAGTATGCATGTGTGGTGGTCAGAAACCAACTCTGTCATACTCCACCTTATTTCTCAAGATGTGATCTTTCACTGTTGCTGCTAGCCTGGCTAGCCAACAAGCTCCAGAGATTTACCTGTCTCCACCCTTCCAAATACTGAAGGCACTCTTCACTATGCCTGGCCGTATTTTCCAGTGTGAGCCACTGATAAAGAGATACAGGAGACCTGGGGATCCAAACTTTGGTTCTATGCTTGTATAGCCAGCACCTAACCCCTCAGGCATCTCCCCAGACCTCTGTGTGGCCCCCTCCCTGCTGCGTCCCTCCCCCTTCTCCTCCTCCTCTCCCTCTTCCTCCTCCCCCTCTCTTTTTCTCTCTCTGTCCATTTTTATGGTCTGTTACGCCCTCTTTTCCCCCTGGACTCTAGGACAGTTTGGTCTTCATTTGTACCTTCTTTTGCTTTCTGCCCCCACTGCGCTTTTGCTTGGCCCCGCATCCTCTCCTCTAGGCTACACTCTACTCTGCAGCCCTGCGTCTGACAGCCTCGTTCTTCAGGGCATCTTCGTTTAGAGAGTCAATGGAAATCCATGGGCTCTGGCTCCTCTTTTCATGCAATATGGATTATCAGACAGCCACCTGAACTGCCTCTTTATGCCAGATATGGATCCTAAAGAGCTCTGGTGAAGGGGACAAGTCAGGAGATGGCATTTCGTGACACAAAACCTAGCACCTGCTCCAGGATGCAGGGCCACCTGGAAAAGACTAGGAGCAGACCCGCCTTACTACTCCCCTACCCCCACCCCAGAGCAGAGAGACGGGACGGATACAGGCTGCCTTTGGTTAAGCATGAGGTCATGTTAACCTCCCCGTCTCTAAGATGCTAAACATCTGGCCGAAACCAGAGCAGTGTAGCCGAACATCTGGATACTCGCTCTGCACAGCATGGAACAGCTGCACGCTTGGCAGCATCTGCGTGAGTAACTGATGGGGGTCCCTTCTGTGTGCTTAACATCCCATCCATGCTTTCATTTGCCTTGTAACCAAAAACCAGACCTAAACTGGTTTAAATTTTAAAAGGGAAATGCTTAGCTTACTGGGCTGAGGAGCCCCAGGACAAGGTCGAGGTTGGGCTCTCGGTACGTGTTAATCTAGCCTCCGAACAGAATCCTCATGGACTCTGTTTCTTAGCTTTCTGCTGTCACCTTTACCACCTCCCTGCCCCAAACAAGTTCCCCTGGGTGGTCCCACATAGGTCACCAGAAGCCTGCTCTTGTTCACATCAGAAAAATAGGATCATATTTATCCCAGCATTCCTAGCAAAAGCCTCAGTGCCTATTCTGTTTGGACAGGACTGGGTCACACATCCCAGAAGGTCTAGACTCTGTGACCAGAGGTTCTTGGATGCTGGCTTAGTTGTCTGCTCCAGTTGAGAAACAGAGATGGAAGCAGTATCTGCTGAGCTTCCAGAATCGAACTGGAGAGTGGCAGGGAGAGGAACAAACAGGGACGTGGGGTTCAGCTGCTGCCAGGCAGAGGGGGGGGACTAAGATGAGGCCCACGAGGAACAAAGGGCATGATAACTAAAAGTACCCCACCCACTCAAGACCACGAGCTGCCTCTGCCCGCCCCCACTCAAGGCCAGGAGCTGATTCTGCCCCCCCCCCACTCAAGGCCACGAGCTGACTCTGCCCTTCTCGGTTTTAATTTTTTAAAACTTATTTATTTAACTAATTTGTAGGCATGCAGCATGGTACACATGTGGAGATCAGATAACAACTCACAAGAGTTGGTTCTTTTTTCCCACATGTGGGACCTGGGGATTGAACTCGGGTCATCCAGAATGGTAGCAAATGCTTTTATCCACTCTGCCAGTGATTCTTAACCTTCCTAATGATTCAACCCTTTAAGACAGTTCCTCATGTTGTGCTGACCCCCAACCATACAATTATCTTGTTGTTAGTTAGTTCATAACTGTAACTTTGCTGTTGTTTGAATCATAATGTAAATATCTGATATGCAGGATATCTGATGTGTGACCCCCCAAGGGGTCACGACCCACAGGTTGGGAACCACTGCACTTAGCCATCTTACAAGCCAGATTCGGGCCTTCTGAGGGTGGCATACCTCCTTCCACTGTGCGGCGCTGCTGGATCGTTTGCTTCCCTCAGTGCCAGCTCTGCCTACACAGCAGACTACCCAAGACTTGCTGGCTTGAAACAATAAACATTTGTTCTGTGGGCCAGAAATCTGAAGGTGGTTTAGCTGGGGGAACTGGCTTGGGGGATCAGTCGTGAGGTGCAGTCCAAATGTCAGTGGGGGCTTCGGTCATCTGAAGGCTTTGCTGGGCCCGAAGAGCTAGTTCTAAAATGGCTGTTGGTAGAATGTCCTGGTTCTACCCCAAAGGGCTACTGATCCATATGTCTCGTGGCGTGGAAGCTGACTCCCCCAGAGCAAATGGTATGAAAGAGAAATGAATAAGCTATAAACTATACTGCCCTCAGCCAGGCGTAGTGGTGCACACTGCTAATCCCAGCACTCGAGAGGCAGAGAACTCCGAGTTCAAGGCCAGCCTGGTCTATAAAGTGAGTTTCAGGACAACCAGGACTAAATAGAGAAACCCCGTCTCCAAAAAAGAAAAAAAGAAGTCATACCCCATCTCTCAGCTTCTGTCCATTAGAAATGAGTCACGAATCCGGGTGTAATCTACCTTCTGGAAGGAACGCCAAGGAGTTTGTAGACCTCTCTAGAGGTCCCACATGAGGGAATGACGTAAGTTGCCCTGAGGATGTGGTAGCACATACATGCAAGCCTAGCACTTGGGAACCAGAGATAGAAGGAGAAAGTTCAAAACCAACCTGAGCTGCATGGTAAGACCCTGCTTCAAAAAGCAGGG